TCTGGATGCTATTAATCACGATGAATCGATTTGACAGCACAAAAACAAAATAATGAAAGTGTAAGTAATGTAGTAATTACAAACCTTTTGATTTTGTGCACTAATAACGTAGACGCCGTTCATGTTGATAGCTGATGCCAGAGACAGAGATGAGGTTTCCACTGACCCATGACTATCCTTGACTGCCTTCAACCATTCTAAGTGTCTTGCAGAGTCACTCTGAAATCAGAGAAAATGTTGATGAACAATAATGTGAGAAATCCTGCTTTCTTTTTCTGATTTTTAAAGCTAGCAGATTCTCTCACCAGTTTCTTTGGGAGGTTGCGGTCATTGTCAAGCGCCTTCCATAGATTCTTCAGCGTCTCTTTAAAAAGCTTGAAGTCAGCATCTGGCTTCAAATCATAGAGCATTGAGGAGTAGCCAAGAACTGCATCATGAAAGCAGGCCACACGATCCACATCCATATCAGAACTGCATCATGAAAACAGGCCACACGATCCACTTCCATATCATTCTCTCCGGCAGAGATGGAAGCCAAATCCACAAAGACTTTCAACTCATTGATGTCTGAAGTGATAAAAAGGAATAATATTTGCTTACAAAAGAGCATAAAAATGATCAAATCGCATTCAATATGAATACCAGTTCAAACACACATTTACTTACCTTTAAGAACCTCTTTTACCCACGTGACAAAATTCTTTCTGCGGCTGAGCTCCTGAAGGCACAGTCTGCGGGATTCTGTGATATCCACAAGCACAATTTTTGCCTGCACCAACTCATCATCAATGCTGTCAAGACGCTCCTTTTTAAAATCCACGTGTCTCTGAAAGAAAGACAGCCTTGTGGGTTAAGCATGTTCCTTATTTATCTATGATAAAAATGTACTTATGATGGCAAAATATGATGACTTACAGTATTAAGCAACTTCTCCAAGACTTGAAAGTCTCCTTGTAGGCAAAGCGTCTCTTTGACCATCATGACCACCTCAGCTGACTGTATTGCCAGATAAAGCTCATGGTACTGCTCAATCTGATGGACTCTTGTCTGGACCCAACGTCGGTCATCACTGTGATCCAGTCTGCATAAGATTGCAACTTCTGCTGCCAGTTCTTCATATTTTCCCTTGTAGGCTCTGAATGTCACATCAATATTTTCAAAAGTGATGCTGCCATCTTTAAGCCCTGTGTATATGTTTTTGTAGGCATTGTGGCATGGTTTAAATATTTCACTGTGAAGCTTTTTGAGTGTGATAGCCATATCGCCTTCTGAAGAAACTGCTCCATAATCTTGAGCAAACTTTGTTGCCTCATTCATCCAACAAATTCTGAAGATGTAGCCTTCTTT